TTTAAAATATCAGAAAACACGGTTGCATTATCGCAACGTGGTCAATTCTGGTATCGAGGAGATGCTTTGGTTGTGCCAGATCATGCTGATTTGCGTACTACCGTTCTGCGTCTTTGTCATGACCATCCGTTGGCAGGCCATACGGGCGTGACCAAAACTCTTGATTTGGTGCGTCGTTCGTTTTGGTGGCCTAGGCTGCGTCAATCGGTCGCAGCGTACTGTCGTACGTGTGACAGCTGTCAGAGGGTAAAGGCAGATACCAGTCTCCCTGGTGGTTTGCTTCTTCCGCTGCCGATTCCTGATCAGAAGTGGTCTTTCGTGACCATGGATTTTATTACTGATCTGCCTCCCGATCCTGATGGCAATACTTCGATCTATGTGTTTGTGGACAAACTCACCAAGATGGTTCGGTTTGTGCCCTGTAAAGCCTCTGTTGACTCTGTCAAAGCGGCTGAAATTTTCGTCAACACCATTGTGTGTTCGTACGGTGTTCCGTCTGTCGTCATTTGCGATAGGGATCCTAAGTTTACCTCTGCATTTTTCGAGTCGCTTTTTGATGGATATCAAATCGACTTGCGTCGCAGTTCTGGTTATCATCCTCAAACGGATGGCCAAACAGAACGTGCAAATCGTATTCTGGAGGATATGTTGCGTCATTTCGTTTCTGGCGATCAATCCTCATGGTCCCGTTATCTGCCGATGGCTGAGTTCGCCATGAACAATTCGTTGCATGAGTCTACGCGAACTACTCCTTTTCGGTTGATGTACGGATATGAACCCCTAACTCCGGCTTCTCACCTGGTTCGCAAATTGGGGGAGGAGAGGGCCAAGACGCGCTTGCAAAGCGTGGCCAAACTGTCTAATCCGTTATCTGTTAAATTCAGTACGGATATGCAGAATGCTTTGGAACGAGCTAAGTCTTGCTTGGCTGCTGCTCGAGATCGGATGAAGAAATGGGCTGACAAAGGTCGCTCGGAACGAGGACTTTCTGTTGGTGATCGTGTACTCTTGAGTACGAAACACATGACTATTAAAGGTGTGCGCAAATTGCTGCCTCGCTTTATCGGACCCTTTGTGGTTAAGGAAAAGATCAACGCGGTTGTGTATCGGTTGGATCTTCCTCCTGCGGTGCGGATACATGATGTATTTCATGTGTCACTCCTTCGTCCGTATCACGATGGTGATCGCGTTCAGCTACCTCCGCCACCTCAGATTGTTGAGGGTGAATTGGAGTTCGAAGTTGAGTCCATTTTGCTTCACAAAGAAGTGAAAGAAGGACGTCGACAAAAGCGTTTCTACCTAATGCGTTGGAAAGGTCAGGGCCCGGAATTTGATTCGTGGGAACCCGAAACGAACCTAACTAACTGCGGTGATTTGTTGCGCGACTACTGGGCACGTCAATCTGATTCAGTTCCAACCTCGAAGTCCCAAGGTCAGGCGACACTTTCGGGTGACGCTGACGCTTCTGGCTCGAAGCCGCATCGAGCTCCTCAGACTACTCGTCACGGCCGTGTGATCAAAAAGCCTTCGCGCTTTAATGCTTTTCTCAACCACTTGTCTGTCACCAGTGGGGTTCCGGAAGCCCTGCTTTTTCCTCTCGTGTGGCGGTGAAGCCAAGGTTGGCTGGCTGTCGGGACGACCAGCCATTTAGGGGGGGAATGATGTAACGTGCAAGAGCAGTTACATAACTCTCAATGCTTCTCTTCAACGGGGTTCACGTAGCTATTCTCAAGACCTTCCTTTTGCGACGTCGTACATTAGTGCGGGTCGTACACTGGATGGCTACATCTTCTCTGGTGTATCGCATCCGGTGTCTTTTGACACCACCATGACTGGTTGTGATAAGCCTTAACGTAACAGTAGCGCTTTCGCAACCGATGCAAGGGCTGCTGAGCTCCGAGGTCCAACTACTGTTTAAGATCTATAGTTGTGAGCCTCCTTTCTGCTGACCGCTCGTTCGTGCGTTGCGGTGTTGGATGCGAGAGTGCTGAAGCACAACAAGGTCTGAAGGACGGCTACACGCTGTATGCTGAGGCAGGGTTTACGTTTGACCGAAGTTTAAGAGAGGTCAAGTTCTTGGGCTCAGTTCAGCAATGTGCAAATGTCGCCCGCAATGGGGACGGCGTCAGTCCCAAAAAAAATTGCGGATTTCTGAACCTCAACACCTTTGATGCGTATTATGGCTGCTTGCATAACAAATTGCGGGATGCGAGGCGAAGTGCATTCTTACGTACTTCTGAAGTCGCAAGTCGCAAGTTGCCAACTAACTCCAGGGTGGGGCTCACTCCCGCCCGGCCGTCAGGGTGATGGATTCAGCCCCCGGGCGGGGTACCGATTGCCGGAACTTCGGAGGTTTCGGAGCGGAAAGTGAGTCTCTGGTCTAAGCGTGCATCTCTACTGTCAATTTGTCAAGCAGCAGCTTGGATGTGGTCGCTGGTCTGAAGGAGGAGGGTCATACGTATGATGTTAACAGTAACTGTGGTATAGAGCTACTAATTGGCGAAATGGAACTGGCGTCCTCGCCCCCCACAGAAAGCGGGGCTTGCCGAATGGAGACCATGTCTAAGTAGATCTGGACCCTGAGTGCTGCTGGCATTTGCTTCAATTGTGTAGGAGGCCACAAGGTCGCCAGAGCGTGCTCACAGTGAACCTGTACTGCGGCTGCGAAAAAGTTTCCGATTTTTAGCCTTGTTGCGAAATCTCGCGAAGCCCCCGGTATAATCTCGAAAACCTCGAAATGCTGCAATTTGTTATGTCTATGGCGAATGTCATAAATGGACCTTAAACGCCTCAGGTCACACAGGAAGAGAATTGCATCCTTTGTGACCTATATGTCTTTTGCTTGCAAGGGTTGCAACTTGTATTCGTGGGAGGGGGCTACAAAGGTTTAGGGAAGTGTCACGATATTATGCTTGGGCGTGGTCTGGCTGCTGCATGGTATCCTGGTTGATTTTGCGAATTGCATCACATACAGCTTCACTGCTAAGCAGAAGCCACGATAAGTTTTACGTAGATGGTTTTACCCAGGACCGGTACTTGTTGCAATTGGTCCGCAGGAAACACTTTCCTAGTTTCTTTCTAGCAATTTCCCTGCCCTGCATTAGCTCACTTCGCGCACTTTCGTGTGGCTTCCAGAGATGCATTGCACCCTCCGGTTCCCGAAGCTCCTCCGCACCGATAATCGGGTTTCATCTGCTTCACCATCGAATCCATCTCGATGTCAGCTGGCGCCTCTGTCGTTTCTGGCAGGGCATCTTACGTGCTCCTTTCGAAGCATGTCAGCCCTGGATGTCTGATGGTTGTAATGTAATGTAATGTAATGTAATGTAATGTAATGTGTTACAGAGTGGGAGGCTTCTGGGCCGCTTTATCACATTGTCAGTTCTACGATCATTTATCACCTTATAGCACCATCCACCACTACCACACTGTCTTCGCCATACGAACTGTAAGTCCAAGGCGGCGGATCCAGCCTTCAGGGACCCCTCCTCATCCATTCACCCGAACACCCGAAGAGACGGAGGGTTCGGCAATCGCCACCAATCCAGCGTGCGAATCTGGTCCATCAACTGTGACCTCAACTCCACATCTCAGCAGCTAGCCATAATCTCGCGCTCCCGACTAGTTCGGGGGTCTCCCCAGGAATCGAACCCAGGACCTTAAACCGCTAATTGCAGTAGTGTCAACCCAGACCAGACGGGTGTGGTGTGATGGTTGTGGTTTTGGGGGCGGTTGCTGCGGCGGTTTTGGGGGCGGTTTTGGGGGCGGTTGCTGCGGCGGAGTGGAACAATAAACTAAACAGCGACGGGCGATGTGTTCTCAACGCGGTCAAGGGTGGTGGATCAGGGTTCGACACTGACCTTCCTGAAACTTGCGGGCTCCCCCGTACCTCCCGAATTTTCCTTACGGAGGGGCCCCCGTACCAGGCTCCTGTACCAGCTGAAAACCTTACAGGGGCCCCTGTAACCCCGCAAAACCTTTAGGGGGGCACTGTCCTTGGATAAAACGCTGTGGAAAGTGACGCTTTGCATTTTTTTGCCCTGTAAATCGTTATTTTCGTTATTTTCTCGTGAACCATTACACTCGGGGACACGGCACACTCAGCGAAAGCCAAGCGCCTTGGCCGCCGCGGCCGCCCATCCCTTCTGCTCCTCTTTCTCGTCCTCCTCATCCTCATCCTCATCCTCAGAGCAAGGGTGGTGGAATCCACCAGGTGGATACAAATGAGTGCTGTGCGGGCAAATACGGATCATGGGCGTGGCGGGCCCTATACATCCACATATATCTCTTTTAAATCAACCTTTGCTTTCGTTTGCCTTTATTTTGCGTTTTCATTTATCTGTACGGATATCCTCAAGGATACGAACACACACATAGACAAGCGGCCCCTGTTCTCCCATATTGCACCTGTACACGGCTCTCCCTCCGCTGATTTGGTTGCTTTCTACGCCACATGATTCCCCCTCTTGGCGCCATTCGGACGTCCGGCTTCAGGTCGCAG